GAGTAGACGTTTGCCCAACGTCTGTATTCCATGCTGGTTTCCAGAGATACAAACTGTGACGGGAACTGGCAAGGTTGGGGGGCTGGGCTAGAGGCAGCAAACGCCGCCACGGACAGGAGTAGGGCAAGGGCGGTAACTCGAGACATTGTGCTGGAGATAAAGAGAAGGATTGTGGGTTTGTTTGAGTAAAGAGAAGCACATCGACACAATGAAGATCATTTAGTGCTGGGGAAAAGTAAGACGGACAGACAAGAACAACAGAGGGAAAGTACAGAAGTAGGACCTACCAGTGGCACCCTCCTTCTTTTTCCTCTTCTTCTTCTATCCCGTGTTTGGGGCAACTATGGGGGCACCACTGCTTCTGAAAACCAGCTCTCATCATCTATTTTTGTCCCCTGCTTTCCTCAGATTGTCACCCATCGTCTTTCCTGTCTATAATGTTGTCCTCATTCTCTGTTCTCTGCCTTCCTGTCTTTCTCTTTCCTTGTACGGTTCCTTGCAGGATTGTTTTGGCAAGTCCTGTGGATCTTGTGACATGCCCATACCATTTTAGTTTTCGTCTCTTCACTGTGGTCACCCTCTAACCACCCGCAAAAAGAGAAGGAAGGAAGACAACATCCAAGAGTGGACTGTGATGACGTTGGAGGTCTTGTGCATAGGCTAGCAGACCCGTAATCATGGGGTTGTGTGTAATGTCGGTAGTAGCATAAATAGGATTAGAATAGAGATCTGGACTGGGAATGAAGTTCACAACGAAGGGAAACAAATCTGGCAGACTTACAGGGGCCTGATGTGAAATTTGAGTTCGAGAACGGCTCTAAAGAAGGAACATATTTCTGAAAAATACGTTTCCGGAAAGTTGCAAAAACACGATGAAATTGAATACGTAGCAAGGACTATTAACTGGTCAAGTATACTAGGATCTTACCTTTGGGTCTTCAAGTTCTGTGCAACATGATTGTTCCAATACTTCCACAACTCTCTCAAGCTCTACATCCAAAGGAACTTTATAGTTTAGGGCGACGTGCACACACTCAAAAAATTGGGTGTAGGAGGAATTCAATCCGTTATTTGGATTTAATATTTTTCCCAAGGGAAGTCTGGATCCTTTCTTGAATGCGGTGAGTGTAAGAGGGGAGCACAATGTTGGTTTATTCTCAACAACTACTGATAAAACACACTCTTCACAATGCTCAGTCATGAACAGGCAAACAAATCTGTCCTCTGTTCTTGAAAGAATTAAATTGTCATATTTCTTGTGGAGTTCCTTTTCTGGAGAAAATTCTGAAAGGCTACAGATTTTGTCTTTTTTCATGAAATGACGGAGTTGCTGATCTTCTTGTTTGGGTGGACGAGGGGGTGGTTTTGGCGTTGGTAGGCAAGACGAGGGAGCATCAAATAAACTCGGCGGATCTACTTGTCGAGTATATCCTCCAGGTAATTTAATGACAGGATAATCTGATGGCCAATGCCTTTCAAAGATAAAGAGTTTGTCTGGATCTAGGGAAAGTTTTCACGAGGGGGTAAAACAGAAAGCCATCTTTGTCTCTCAAGTCCTTCTTTCGGTACCTTGAACACTCGACATTTATTGTCTGTTTTGTAGTTACCTTTGCAGTTTACAACCCCACATTTATTCGGCATGGTGAAATCAAACTATCCTTGCGCATAGACGGGCCGATTAATTCACAATAATCCACAGAATTAACAAAAACACTCCGAGAAACATGAGGAGAGGAACAACATTTGACATTGAACCGTATACATTGATCACTGCACTTCTTTCCGGAAGGATGCGCTTACGCGGATAAACGGCATCCATAATTATGCTTACATTTCTTTGCTTGGAATCTTAATCAAAAATAAAAATATTGACACCTTTCAATATCTGATCCATTTCTGCATCATTTTTATTAAGATCAACGAATTTTACAGATAGGATTCATTCTACTTCAAAGGCGATAAATAGTCCCCGATTCCTACGAACGAGTCAAAGCTAAAGATAAGGCACTGAGTCAGAATGGGAATATCCGGAGTGTTTGACTCGATGGCCTTCGCTAGCCAAGTCAGGAATCCGACTGTGCACGTCCTTGAGTATAGTAGTCCTTGATACGTAGTATTTAATGAGGTTTGTGTTTCTTTAGTCTGGAATCAGTTGAGCATTATCATCTTTTTAAAATATGTGTTTTAACTCTGTAGTAGAAAAGAAATATTGTTTAAAGGTTACAGGGTTGGAAAGACTAGATTTTAAAAATAAACGGAAAGGAAATAAATAATACATCAATCATTTCGAGACTTTACTTACAAGATCTTTGAAATTGGTGCATTTTGCACGTATAAGTGTTTAAAAAAATAAAATAAAAGCCATTTCCATTTTCGAAAATAATTTTCTTCTTTGTGAATTTTATGTCAAACAAATTTCTTTTCAATTACTTATATCTGTTCCAAATTACTACATTCCAGTACACATTTTGTGCCAGATAATCAGAAAAAAAAGTTGTACAGTTATTATTTTTATTTTTTTTTGGGGGGGGGGAGGGTCACCTTTATTTGACCTATTTTTGGATGGAATAGTGTGGGGTGGGGTGGGTTATTGCTGAAAAATATTAATTTTCTCAAGGATATCTGGAATCACAGAGATACGAGAGAGTAAGTGATGCGGTAGTTGCAATAAAGGTCAAGACGATTTCACTTAACGTTGTATGTTTAGAGGTAGTCATCATGATCATGATCCATGATGATGATGATGATGATGATGATGATGATGATGATGATGATGATGATGATGATGATGATGATGATGATGATGATGATGATGCATCATCAACAACAACAACAACAACACAGCACCAAAATCACAACTACCTTCTCCACTAAATAAGGGCGACCTAAAAATAAGCTCTCGCTGGTGCCTTAAACATGAAAAAACATCTCTTAAAACAACTGCTGAACAATAAAGAAACAAATAAAGAAAATAAAATCTTTAAAAAACAACAACCAACAATCAACAACGTTACAGCAAAGCAAACAGCCTTGTTTACCTATGTTGGAATCCTTAGAAGCGTTCTACGTCACGAGAATGTACGTAGTTTGGCTTGGGATTGTCTGTCTGAGAATGAACAAAGCTAGCGTGGGTCGAGTTATAATATACTCATCCACCTCCCATGATCCATAGTGACGATATACTACAGCTCTAGCGTTGTGCTTTTAGCATTGTGAACACATTTTGACAGATTTGTGCGAAGTGAGTGACAATTATCCACGAGATTGGATTCAGATGGTTATGGTCGTTGTCGCATTTTTGAGAATATTTCAAGTTTTTATGTAAAAAAACACAAAAACTTTTCCATTTACGAGATGAAATGTCTTTTTGGCGATAATGCACAATTTTGCGCTGCGTTTACTTTTTGTGTGTGTGTGTGTGTGGGGGGGGGGGGGTGTTTGTTCGAGTCTACTTATCATGGCGCAATTTGTTTGTCATCGAGTAACTAAGTGTTGGGTTGTTGATAACAATTTTTGAACACTCCTGACTTGAATCGACATCCCATTCATATTTTATCTGAACACTGCTAATGTATTAAAGAGCTGCGTCAGAATAGCTTTCTGAATCAAGTATAAATTAATGTTCTATTACATTGGTTTTAGTTGTGCGCTTTTATTAGCAGTAGCTACCATTATTACCTTTACGCGACATCTGAGTGGTATGATAATGAGTTTTCAAGGGAATGAAAAAGATAAAACAAAGACATAGCAGTGACAATATTATGGCACTGTTCGAGGAATAGAAAGGCGATTAAAAATAGTGAATTTTTCTCCAACAAAAGAAGACCAGAGTGGCTCTTTTAACAGATCACAGTAAAAACGACTGTGGCAGGGGACAACAATGTTATGTGTTACAACGTAGTGGAATCAGGCGCTCGTCATTTTGAGCACTTGAGGTCATAGATCTTATCTATAAGGCTGTTTATCAAAAATATTTTGGTTTTGCTTAAAAAAAAAATAATACCCATCAGGTTTGAATAAATGTTAAGATATTTGCGATGGAAGGAGGTATGGGGTCACTTTGTATCATAGATATAAAATTAGCGAGAAAATGGCCGCCAAAGTTCTGTGACTTTTAAAAATTGAGTGTCTATGAAGAGTACCTTGAAAACTGCACATTTACACTGCTTGTGCCTTTCATAAACACTTTTCCCGCGTGATATCCACACTGAAATATCTTTTTAAATGAACATTAAAAGTGTTGAGCAAAATGATGACAATAGTAAAATTACTACTACTACTACTACTACTACTACTACTACTACTACTACTACTACTACTAGTAGTAGTAGTAGTAGTAGTAATAGTAATAGTAATGATACTTACATTAAAATTAACATTAATGTTAATATTAACAATAATAATGACAATAATTTCTTTAAAAATGTCCTACTGTAAAAAGAAAAAGGAAATGCCGGTTACTTTGCTATCATTACATTATTTTGACGAGAGCTTGATTTCACCACGTTGCCTCACATATTATATACTGCCGACGTGTTTTATTTGTGATGGGATAATGCATCGACAAGACGTGTCAATGGAATTATATAACTGTGACTTAATTACGTGCATTCATGGTCTCTTGGATCTAAAGCGATGATGATGATGATGATGATGATGATGATGATGATGATAATGATAATAATATTAATAATAATAATAATAATGATGATAATAATAATACTAGTAAGAATAGTAATAATAATATAATAATAATATTTATAATAATTATAATAATTATAATAATAATAATAATAATAATAATAATAATAATAATAATAATAATAATAATAATAATAATAATAATAATAAGAAGAAGAAGAAGAAGAAGAAGAAGAAGAATTATAATAATAACAATAACAATTATAATATCATTAATAGTAATAACAATAATCACAATATCATAATAATAATAATAATAATAATAATAATAATAATAATAATAATAATAATAATAATAATAATAATAATAATAATAATAATAATAAAGATAATGATAATGAAAATGATAATAATTAAGGTCTAATGTAAAAGACCTGAGCTCGCTTCCCGAGTGGGTAATATGCATTTTTTAATGGAAATTAAGTTTTGTTTTGCCTAGGATATATTTTCCCTCTCATCTCATGTTGGCCTTGACAAGCGGGTTCAAAGCACACTACCCCCCCCCCCCCCTCCCCCCCAACCCCCGCCCTTCCAAAATGATTTAGCTTGTGTCCATTGCGGGAGAAAAACTAAACAAAAACAAAAACACCCATATTATTTGTTTAAGTGATCATAACAATCCTCCCCACAACAAACACACATACACACAAAAATACATGTACAAACATAAAAACACACATACACATGTACACACACAAACACAAACACACACAGACACACACACACACACACACACACACACACACACACACACACACACACACACAAACTCACAAACACGCACACAAACAAAATAAAAGGAAAGGAAAAAAACATGACATAGCTGATTTAAGTTAATGATTTTGAGCTTAAGAATTCTATTTATAAAAATGTATTTTTCTATCCTATTGTATCACAGTGAAATGCTCCAGAATTGAGTCATTGCTTTCTAGTGTCACTTTTAAAAATGGTCAACGTCTGCTGTTTGTCAATAGTGGTGGGTTGGCGGGGCTCTGGTGTGGTTTTCTCCTTTATTCCTATCAAACATCTGTCGTCCTTATCTGTCCTTCTCCATTTTGTGTTTGCTACTCTCTTGTAATACCTCTGATCTCTAGCATTAATATCAATTTTTTATGTTGCAATTGGTGTAAAACTCCAACTGAAACTAAACCGTTCATCAAAATTTGAAAGAATGAAAGCAAAAGGGAATCCACTCAGTTTTCTTTTTTAAGTAATGGGTGTACGTGGGCAGTGACTCTGAGTGGTAAGTGAGCGGAGGTTCGTAATAATGTCAAACGTAAATCTTAGCTGCCTGAGAAATTCAAAATTGTATCCCTCTCTTGATGAAGCCCACGTGGGACGCTCAATGTTTAAAACAATCAGGAAACGACAAATGCAGTTTTTGGGACACCTGAATAGACATAAGGGTCTTGAAAATCTAGCTCTCACTGGCAAAATTGAGGGCAAGCGAGGCAGGGGTAGGCCCAGAACAACATACTTAGGGAACCTAAGCAAATGGGTAACAGGGAAAGATCAGGGAAACTTAGCTTTTCTGAGAGCATTCGAGCAAAGGAATGAATGGAAAATCATGATCGCCGATGTCTGTCGCAGATCTGGCACTGGATGATGATGATCCCTCTCTTCAGGAGGTTTTGAGTTACTAAGACGGTCGTGGCAGAAATTTGTTTAATGGTCTGTCTTCTCTGTGAATAAATTCGTATGGTTATTCGGAGTTGTTGTAAAGATATTCAAAAAATTTCATTCTAAGAAAAAAACAACAACAAAAAAACTTGACATGTTGTAAAACTCAAAATATGTAACGTCCGATTTCTCAAAGCTAGGTACTTAGCAGATAGAACTTTGTAACTCTCGGATAGCGACGTGTCGGAGGTACGGCGTGGGTGGCCTAGTGGTTAGGCTGCCGGACCCATAATCGTAAGATTGCAGGTTTCGGGGGTTCGATCCATAGCTTGTTCCGACCTTGTGTCCTTGGGAAAAGGCATTCTCCACGAATTTCCCATTTGGCTCGGTCCTTTCGGAGACGGGCGTTAAACTAGGAGGTCCAGCCTCTTAAATAACCTAATAGTGTTGATAGGGGGCGTTAAACCCATACCCTTTCACCATTTGATGTCGAAGGTACGCTGTCTTGGTGGGTTCTCTGCACCCGGATTATGTTGGTTTGTATTTTTACCATTTTTGTTCGTTGTTGTTGGGTTTTCGTTTCGAAAGTTTTACGTTTTGACCATGTTGTTTTTGCGAAAGTTTTGCATCTGCAATTTGAGTCGCCCTGTGACATGTATTAGGTGAAATGGTCTAATGGCGTTGCGCCCGTTTAACATTTCACAAACGGTTTGAATTTCCGGACTTTAAAAATCGCGAATCAGTTAGCTCCAAAATGAAAACAAAACAAAACAGCCGCCTAAAATAAACAACTACAACAACAAAATGAAAAAACCCAGCAACCAGAAAAACAAAGCATCCCCCAAAGAAAAAAACCCAGCACAAACAAACAAAACAAAACAAAACAAACAAGAAAACAAACCAACCAAACAAACGAAAAATAACAATAATAGTCATGAAGGCTTGTCCTTGAACAACACACGATAACACTAGCTAAAAATAGGACGCTGCACATTGGCGGCCACAACATAATATTTTGGCTAAGGGATTGCAAATGATCTTTTTTTTTGGGGGGGGGGGGGTTATAGATAGGAAAACGCACACAAATGGATGAGAATTAAATTAGCATGCCTCGAATATGCATATAGCAGTTGAACAGATGTGTATAAAAATGTCAGAGCCTTCTACAATTTTCTTTAGTTCTAGTTTTACGTCCTGTCAGGTTGCAGAGATTCCAGGTACAATTTTTATTAAACTTTTTTTCATTATAAAACAATCCATTCGAACTCGTCCAAGTTTTTGTTTTTAAATATAAAAAAATAATTAACATTTCCTTTCAAGCTCGTCACTTTACAGGATCTTAACAGTCAGTTTCTTTTTTTTTTTTAGAGTTTAAAATTATTTCTTAAAATTTCCTTTTGAATTCGTGATTTCAATGGGTTCTTAACAGTCCATGTGTTTTATTTTCTTTCTTTTTTACTTGCGAAACTGTACCTGTGATTTTGATTAATGCCCCTTTACAGTGCTGTATGACTAATTTAGAGGTCAGTGGGTCTTGGAAAATTATTTCATACAAGGAGGTTAGTCGTAGATCAAAATACGTCATTCATGTCTCAGCTTCCATTGGCTGGTGCTCTATGTGATTTGCTCCGTCTTTGGTCACCAGTATTTATCGTTCTTATCATTTCTCCATCCTTTGTGCGTTTGTTTCATGGAACAGTTCAATCTTCGTCATTTATGTGACCTAGTTGTTGGAAGAGACGTTAAACCCTAACGAAAACGAAAAGGATAATATC